GCAGCACGGCCGCGACGCCCCCGACCCCTACGTGTCCCTGCTGCTGCTGCCCGACAAGAACCGCGGCTCCAAGAGGAAGACGTCCCAGAAGAGGAGGACCCTGAATCCTGAATTCAACGAGCGGTCAGTCCGCGGGCATGGGGGGACGGGACGGGAGGCTCCGGGGACCCCGCCTCATGCCCACCTGTCCCCCAGCTTCGAGTGGGAGCTGCCCTTGGACGAGGCGCTCAGGCGCAAGCTGGACGTCGCGGTGAAGTCCAGCTCCTCCTTCATGTCCCGAGAGCGCGAGCTGCTGGGGAAGGTGAGTGGCCGGCGGGGCGGGGGGCGCACCCTGCTGCCTGACACTCCGGAGGGACACCGCCACCTGTGGTGGTTGGGGACCAGGAGTGTGTGGTGGCGGGCATGGCCTTTGGAGAAGTCAAAATAAGGTCCCAAGCCCGGCGTGGTGGTGCACACCTTTAATCCCAGCATTCGGGAGGCTGAGGCAGGAGGATCATTGCGAGTTTGAGACCAGCCTGGGCTACAAAGTGAGCTCCAGGCCAGCCTGGAGTGCATAGCGAGACCCTGTCTCAAAAAGACAAAAATAATAATAGTAACAACAACGTCCCGCCCCGGCCCTCCACCGCAGGTGCAGCTGGATCTGGCGGAGATGGACCTGTCCCAGGGCTCGGCCCAGTGGTGAGTCCGCGGGCTGGGCCCTGGAGGCTGGGCCGGGATCTAAGCAGGAGAAACCCAGCTCGCTGCATCGCAGCAAGGCGTAGGAACGGCGTCATCCGAGCTGAGAACCACTGCTTCAGTTAAGAGGCTGAGGACGGTCCCTTTTGTAAAAGGCCTGAAGTCTCACCCACCTCGCCCTCGTTTCCCCAGGTATGACCTGACGGAGGACAAGGACAAGGGCAGCTCCTAGGGGCTGGCAGTGAGCAGCCGGACCGCTCCGTCCCGCCCGGCCTGGCCGCATCACCGCCTCAGCGCGGTGAGCCGAAGCTCGGCCGGGCTCGCCTGTGCCTTCGGCCCTTTTCCCCTCAGGCCCGTACCGGGGCCTTCGCCTGACCAAAGAGAAGGACGCCGCGTTGTCCTGCACTGCATGGCCTTCGTCCTCAGGCTCCCGGCCGGCCCGCGCCGGCTTTCCTGCACGATCCCCCCCCAAGTCCTCAGGGCCTTCTTACCCGTGCCTGACCACCGGCAGCACCAGCAGCGCATCAGCTTACGCCAAATCGGTTCTGGGAGGGCCGTCCTGAGCCCACACGGGCGCCCGCCTCCCCGCCGCCAGCGGCAGGGCGCAGTGTGTGGGGAGCACAGCCGCTCCCCGCGGGCCCTTGCACTACCGCGTGTAGCCAAGGTACAGCGGCTTGGGCCGCGCCGGTCCTGCCCCCGCCTCCGCGGAGCCTGTCCTGAAGACGCGCTGGGGTGGCGGGCCAGGGCCCCCTTGGCGTGGTGAGTCAGAAGCACCTGCGTCCTGCCTGAACCTTCGAGAAGCGGGAGGCCAGTCTGGGAGCCCCAAGCTGGCGGTGTGCGGCCGGCCTCGAAGGACTCAGGACGGCAGAGCCAGTTCTGTGGTCCAAGTGCCTGGGTTACAAACTCACTGACTAGAACTGAATCTGACACTCTTGCACCAACTCTGTCAATCCACTGTATCTTATATTAAACATTATACTCAAGCCAGCTGTGGTATTTTCCTTAAGAAGTGGGAATCTAAAGTGGGGGGATGGTGCACGCCTGTAATCCCAGCACTTAGGAGGCTGAGGCAGGAGGATCACTGCAAGTGTGAGGTCAGCCTGAACTACATAGTGAGACCCTGCCTCAAAAACAAATGGGATCGGTTCCTGGTACCGGAGAAAAAACAAGGGAAAAAAAAAAAACAAAAATGGGAATCTAACCTACTCATCCGATGTTTATTCCAACTGTCAGAGGCCTTCATTCCATTTGCAAACCAGAGCACTTTAATACTAGTCAGACCTAAGATGTAGTCAGCCAGAGCGCCAGTCCTGTGGAGGATTTCAGGGCCCTGTGTGCAGAGGCCGCCGAGGTGAGACGCGTTTGCTGTGGCGACTCTTACTTGAGCATCTGTCTGCTGACCACTGTCGCCTCGTGGGCTTCCTGGGGGAGAGGCCCCAGCCCTGACAAACCCAGCTCTCGGCCCCGGCACGGGCTCAGCGCCTGCCGTCGGGCACGCGGCCACACGCAGAGGGCTCCAGGTCCGCCCTCCGCACAGCTGAGGAGTACTTCACACCCATTCCAGTGTGCTCGCCTTCAGCTCCGCTCCTTGCGGGAGCTTTCTGGGAACCACGCTGTGGGGCGGTGGCCTCTTCGGGAATTACTAAATCCTGGGCACACGGCACAAGGCCTGCTGTTGTTCTTTTTTTTTTTTGGTTTTTCTCCGGTACCGGGAACCGAACTCACGACCTTGCGCTTGCCAGGCAGGCGCTTTTGCCGCTGAGCTAAATCCCCAGCCCCAAGGCCTGCTGTTCTTGCTGGTAGATAATACAGCCAGCGATTTGCTGTGTGATTTTTAAGAAACACTCTTGACCTACTTCATTGCTTTAACCGCATTTATGGAAAACTAGAAGACAGAGTACGACTTCTGAAAGAATCCCTACTTTTTTTTTCTTTCTTTTTTTTTTTCCGCATGGTACTGGAGCTTGAACCCAGGGCCTCACATATGCTAGGCAAGCACTCTGCCGCTGATCAGTACTCTCAGTCCTATAATCGTGGCCAGCTCAGGCCACCTGTGGAAGGAGCAGCAACTTACATACTAATGGGCCACAACTCAGTACCTGATTGCACTTACGTACACAAAGATGAAGCAAATGAAGGGTCATTGAACAAATGTACTTGTGGGCTTTTTTGTGTGCTGGTGTGTCTTTTTGAGACGGGGTCTTGCCGTGTAGTTCAGGCTGGCCTTAAACTCACTATGGAGCCCAGGCTGGCCTCACACTTCCAGGGCTCTTCCTGCCTCAGCCTCTCAGGGCTGACATGGCAGGTGTGTGCCACCAGGCCTGGCTATTATATTATTTCTCAAAACAGCTTACTTTTACCACTGACACACGGGATGCTCGTGTGCCTTTTCCAGAGAAAGGCAGCTATGGCAGCACGGGGTATACTGCTGCCACTATTTGCAAACGCCGCCTTCTTAGAGCCATGTGGCCTCCCACAGCACACAAGGGGCTATATATAGCTAAGTGGGTGTGGCCACACAGCTGTCTGCCTTCACCCTTTCCCCTCTTCCCTGCGTGCAGGACCCCGCAGCATTCCCGGCAGCAGCGCCGGCCCCAGGGGCTTAGTCACAGCCCTCGCCGCTGAGTATTCACTTCCCCACCTCCTGTGCAACTCGGGAGAATTCCGAACCAGTCCTAGCGAGCAAGATGTAGGAGGGCCTTGGTTGGGGAAGGCAGCGTTCTGTCACGTACTGTCCCTGTCCTGTTTTTCAGAGCCTTACCATGCCCCTTCCTTCCTTCTTAGGTTGTTGGTATGAGGGTGTGACCCCTGCAACTGCAGGGGGGCCTTTTTCTTCTTTGCTTTTTCCTTCTGTGGAACTGGGGATGGAACCCAGAGCTTTCACCCTGCGCTAAATCTTTGGGCCTGGGACACAGCTCAGGGAGCCGGGGCTATTGCTCAGTGGCACAGTGGTCTTGAGCTCACTTTGTAGCCCAGGCTGGTCTCGAACTCACAAGGATCCTCCTGCCTCAGCCTCCCAAGTGCTGGGATTACAGGTGTGTGCCATCATGCCCGGCTCTCTTTAGCCCTTTTAAAAAATGTTGGGCCCAGGGATATAGCTGAGCCGCAGGGCGCCTGCCTGGCAAGCGTGAGACCCTGGTTTGATTCTTGTTACCAAAACCAAAAGGGTTAACGCAGCTTCCCACATGAGAGCCCGCCCTGTGTCCTTCAGGGTGTACTTTTACTTGCTGTTTCTTCTTTTACTCACCCCAAGCACACTCTGCAGAGCCAGTTTCTCCCTCATTCTTTACTTTTACTTTTTCAAATAAACTGTCATTCTAAAAAAAATATTTCTTTTCAGACAGGGTCTTGCTGTGTAGCTCAAGCTTGAACTTGTGGTGATCCTCCTGCCTCAGCCTCCCAGGCCACAGGCATGCTCCACCATACCCAGCCAGAGAAAACATTTTTTACTGTTTTCTCTCTCTCTCTTTTTTTTTTTTTTAACGGAGACTCAAACCCAGGGCCTTGCACATGGCAGTCAGGTGCTATACCACTAAGCTACATCCCTAGCCTTTTTTTTTTTTTTTTTTTTTTGAGACACAGTCTCACTATGTAGTTCAGGCTGGCCTTGAGCTCACTGTGTAGCCCAGGCTGGTGTTGAATTTGTGGAGGTCCTCCTGCCTCAGCCTCCTAGATGTTGAGATTACAGGCATGTACCAACATGCCTGGCTATTTTTAATTTTTGAGGCAGTGTGTAACCAAGTTAACAAGATTACTTGGAATTTGAGATCCTCCTGCCTCAGCCTCCCAAGTAGGTGGGGCTATAGGTATGCAACAGGTTTAGAGTCCTGTCTCCCCATCCCCCACCCCCTCTGGTACCGGGAATCAAACTCACGACCTTGTGCTTGGCAGGCAAGTGCTGTGCCGCTGAGCTAAATCCCCATAGTTTATAGGTTTATAGTTCTTTATGGCAGTCTTGCTCTTACATTTCCAGCAGTACCTAGCTAGTGAGACAGTGCATAAATCTTTGGTCCAAGACTATAAAAATTGGCAGGTAGGAGATTGCTGCTTGAGAAAGTGCTGACGACAGCAGTAATAACTGGCAGTTGCTGGTGGGTGTGGTGGTGAATGCTTGTAGTTCCTGCACTGAAAGGGCTGAGGTATCCGAATCACTTGAATTTCAGGCCAGCCTCAACTGTATAGTAAGCCCCTGTCTCAAACAAGACAAAACAAAAATAAGAAAAAATAACCGCAATTGTTAGCCTGTGAGCAAAGATGCAGGACAATATAAAAGTAGGTAAAATTTTACCCATTAGGTGGTAACATTTTTATAATATTCAAGTTTAAGAGAATATACAGGAAATCATATTTTCATGTAACGCTGGTGGGAGTACAGAAGATGCACGCAGCATGATCTCCTCAGATCATGTTCTCCTGCAGTTTGGAAGAATGTGGTAAAAATCATTAAAGTACAGAAGCTGATTCAGCATTTCCACTTACCCTAAGGACGTTGCTGAGCCTGCTGTGCTGGTGAACACCTGGAACCTGAGCCCTGCGGGAGGCTGAGGCAAGAAGCTCAACAGCTGGAGCCCAGCTTGGGCAATTTAGCAGGCTAGCAAGACCCTATCTGAAAACAAAAAATGAATTCAAAGCAGGATGAACTACATAAAGAGAACTTGTCTCAAATAACCAAAAAGAAGCAAACAAATAAAATAATAAAGGGGCTGGGGATTTAGCTCAGCGGCAAAAGCGCCTGCCTGGCAAGCGCAAGGTCGTGAGTTTGGTTCCTGGTACCGGAGAAAAACCAAAAATAAAAATAAAAATAAAAATAAAATAAAATAAAATAAAATAATAAAAAGCACGCTAAGACAGAAAGATCCCAAGTTCAAGCCGAGCTTGAGCAACTCAGTGACTTAAAACATCCCTGTCCCAAAACGAAAAGGGGTGAGAGCCAGGTGTGGTAGTGCACGCCTATAAACCCAGCACGTAGGAGGCTGAGGCAGGAGAATTGCTGAGTTCAAGGCTAGTTTGAACTACATATCAAGACCCTATCTC